CCGGGCCGGGCCGAACCGGGCCGGGCCGGACCGGCTGGGCCGCTGACGGCGGCGCCGCCGCAGGGGCCGCCACCACTGGGTCCCCGCCACGCAGCGGCTCTTCGGCGGGCAGATCGTGGGCCAGGCGCTCGTGGCGGCCGCGCGCTCCGTGGGCAGCGAGCTCCAGGCGCACTCGCTGCACTGCTACTTCGTGCGGGCAGGTGGGCCGGCACCGGCACCGGCACCGGGACCGGGCCGGGGGGCGCTGGGAGGATGCGCGGGTCGGGCCGTGTCCCCGTGCCCGTGGCCGGTCGGTGCGGCCGCGTGGGGCCGCGCGGCAGGAGGCTCTTGTCGCCGCAGGGGACCCCAAGGTGCCGGTGCTGTACGAGGTGGAGCGCACGCGCACGGGCCGCAGCTTCTCGGTGCGCTCCGTGAAGGCCATTCAGCACGGGCAGCCCATCCTCATCTGCCAGGCGTCCTTCCAGCTGCCGCAGCAGAGCCCCGTGCGGCACCAGTGCAGCATGCCGGCCGCGCCGCCGCCCGAGGCGCTGCTCACGCAGGAGCAGCTCGTCCGCACCTACCTGCAGTGAGCAGCGAGCGGGGCCGCGGCCGCAGCCACGGCCGGGCCGGCCCCCGGCCTCACGCCGACCGCGCCGCGCTCTCGCCCCGAAGGAACCCCGACCTGGCGGAGCGGTACAGGAAGCAGCTCACCAAGATCGAGGCCAAGGACGTGCCCATTGACATCAAGCCCGTGAACCCGCCGGGCATGCTGTGCTCRGAGGCGCAGGAGCCCAAGCTCCTCTTCTGGGTGCGGGCGCGAGGCTACATCGGTGGGTGCCGGCGGGGCGGGGGGCGCCGCGGCCCCGCGGGGCGGGCGGCCCGGTGGCAGCGCGGGGTCCCCTGAGCGAGCGGCGGCGCTGGCGGCGCAGGGGAGTGCGACGCCAAGGTGCACTGCTGCGTGGCCGCCTACATCTCGGACTACGCCTTCCTGGGCACGGCGCTGCTGCCCCACCGCCAGCACCGCGTCCAGTTCATGGTGTCCCTCGACCACTCCATGTGGTTCCACGCGCCCTTCCGCGCCGACCACTGGATGCTGTAYGAGTGCGAGAGCCCCTGGGCGGGTGAGTGGCCGGGGGGCTGGCGGGGCGCCCGGCACCCACGGGCCGCGCTGACGGGCGCTCGCTGCAGGCGGCTGCCGGGCGCTCGTGCACGGGCGGCTGTGGCGCAGGGACGGCGTCCTGGCGGTCACCTGCGCGCAGGAGGGCGTCATCAGGGTGGCGCAGGAGCCCGAGCAGAGCAAGCTCTAGCGAGGAAGGCGGCGGCGGCTGCGCCAGCGCCTCGGCCGTGAGGGCGCCGTCGRCCCCGGGGAGGCTGCAGSAGCCGCGGCCCGAGCCACGGGGAGAAGCGCCCGGCGCACGGGGCACGCGGCCCCGCACGGACTGCGGGGGCATCAGCGTTTCTGGGCTGTTACCGCACAGCACGCAGCCCTACACCTTCCTCCRCCACCCCTCACCTACCTTAAATAAAACCGTCACATGAGCACTGAGCTCCGGGCCCTGGAGTTTGACCCGCTCTGTGCCCGGCTCCTCGGGAGCTTCCCCACGGGCAGGGGTTGGTGCCAGGGCGGCCTGGGAATGGGCTGCGCCCCGGCCATGTGCGTCCCCTGCCCTCGCGCCCCTCAGGGTCCTTGTCGGGACGAGGGCTCCCGAAGCCCTGGGCAAGTGGAGGGAAGCGGCAACATCCCGGCCCCGGGGCCTCCTGCCAGTCTGTGCCCTGTGCGCGAGGCCTTGGGGCAGCCAAGCTGCGCAGAGGCGACCAGGAGGAGCCCCCTCCCTCCTCCTGGCAACACTGCATTTAATAAAGGCTTTTCTATTATTCTCATCTACGTTTTATGGGAAGTTCCTGGCAAGAACTCCAGCCTCTGCCAGGAGCCAGCCGGTTCCTTCCACGCGGTGCCAGCGCGTCCCCGCCACGATTCCCACCTGCTCCCCGGCGCTCCCGTGCGCGGAGGCGCCGGCTCCTCGCGGAGCCGTGAACGGGCTTTGGAAGGTGCTTTTCCTGGCGCAGCGGCTGCCCGGCGAGGCCAGCCCTGTGCCGATGTCCCCCCATCCTCCCGCGCCCCCGGCTCTGCGCCGTGCCCCATCCCCACGCGTGGCRCTGCTGTGGGCACCGCGCAGCGGGGCTCAGTCCAGAGCCTCCTTGATCAAACACTCCTTGAGCGAGGGCGGCTGCGGCGGCAGCCCCGCGTCCTGCAGCTCCTGCAGCCGGGCCTCCGAGCGCCGCTTGTCCTTGCCCACCTTCCAGGCGAGGTGCACGTGCGCCTGCAGGAAGGGCGCCAGCAGCGGGTGGCTGTCCTGCGCCGCCAGCAGCTGCAGCGCCTGCTCGCAGCAGCCGTGCGCCTCGCCCAGCTGCTCCAGCTCCTGGTGGCACACGGCGAGCCCCGCCAGCGTCACCAGGAAGCGGCCCGAGTGGCAGGCGCCCAGGCGCTCCTGCAGCCGCGCCGCGTTGGCCCAGGCCGCCAGCGCCTCGCGGTACAGCCCGGTGCAGGTGAGGCGCTGCGCCGCGCGCAGCTCCTGCAGCAGGAAGAACTCGAGGAACTCGGCGGAGCGGCGGATCTCGGCGATGGAGTGCAGGTGCGACAGGAACTGCTCGAAGGCGCGGCTCCGCTTGGCGATGGTCTCGGCCGTGAAGTTGCGGCGCAGCCTCTTCCTGGGGAAGGCCACGCCGGCCATGTCGCAGCCGAAGCGCCTCCGCAGGCGGCGGTTGAGCCGCTCGAAGTCCGAGTAGCGCCGGGTGATGGCGGCGGGCGCCTTGTCCGCGCGGCCCGAGCGGATCAGGTAGATGGTGTAGAGCTGCGGGCGGAGGCGGCCGTGAGGCGGCGGGACGCGCGGCAACGCGGCCTCTCCCGCGGCGGCGGGACCTGCCGGCGCCGGGGGCTGCGCGGGGCCCGGCCGTTACCTGAGGCCCGTCTGAGCCGCCGGCAGCGTCCGCGCAGCGGGGGGAAGAGAGAGCGGTGAGGGCCGGGCGGGCGCCGCGGCCGCCCGCGCACTCACCACGTACTTGGAGGAGCGCTCGCTCACCACGCTGGCGCTGGACACCTCGAAGAGCAGCGGCGGCGGCGCCCGGCCGCCCCGCGACCGCCGCCACAGCTCCTGCAGCTGCCGGGCCAGCAGCCCCC